CACACACACACACACATACACACACACACACACACACACACACACACACACACACAGACACACACACACACCGCGACGCACCCTCCACCCACCTTGCCAAAGGAGCCCTCCCCCAGCAGGTCCTGCAGCACCACGTTGCAGCCTGGGGACGACAGGTTGCTGGGAGCGCTGCCGATGCTGCAGCGCCGCGCGATCATCTGCCGCGTCTCCTCGATGCGCTCTGGGGGCGCGGCGTCGCGCGGCGGGGCGTCCAGGGTTCAGGGTTTGGGTTCAGGGCTTTGGGTTGGGGGAGTGGCAGCAGTGCTATGCGTGGAAGCAGGAACTGGGCGGTGCGTTTTGAGCGCAACGAATTTTCCAGGTGCAGCAGTATTGAGTGTGCAGGTTGCTGCTGAGGAGGCCGAAGGGAATGGGAATGGCGTCTTGAAGCCAACCCATGGTTCCTTATGGGTGCAGGGGTCGCAGCGAGCGCTCGGCCCCTACGCGCCGTGATAGCGCTGCCAAGCAGCGCCGCGGCGCACGGCACTGCACATTGTGGGCGTCGGATGGGGGCCCTAAAACCTGAACCACAAACCCTAAACCCTGCCCGAGGCCTGGCTGCTTGATGTTTGCGCGCCGCACGCATCATCCTCCAAGTCGGATGACGCGCGTGCTTCTCGGTGCTTTTCTGATCCAAACTCTCAGTGGAAAATGGTTCTCAGTCAGAAATTCTTAGTGGGAACCTCTCACCTTCAGTCACCATTGTGTCCATCGATGTTGTAGTGCCCGTGCCCGTCCCCGGCCTGCTCTCAAGCCACAGCGCCCCCACCGGCTCCCCGCCCCCGCCGCCGCATCCCCCGCCGCCGCTCCCCCACGGCGCCTGCGCGGTCTGCGCCCTCGCCGCCGCGCCGGCGTCAGCGGCGGCGTCGCAGCCGAGGTCGGCGCCGGGCATGAGGGGGATGACGTTCAGTGAGGATGAGGCGGAAGTGCAATAGACAATTGACGACGCGTCGACGGCGAAGAAGGCGCCGGGCCCGAGATGCGAGGTGCTCGGGCCCGGCTTGCAGCGGAGCGAGGCCGTCGCTGCTGCTGCTGCGGCTGCGGCGGCGGCGCCGCCGCTGTCGCAGGCGGGGCCGTGCGGCGCCGCATGGGGGGCATCGGAGAGTTGTGGGAGCCTCGGGCGCGGCCGCGGCGCGCAGCGGGCCGGCGCGACGCCCGGGGACTGGCCGGCGCCGGCGCCGCCGCCGCCGCAGCCGCTGCTGGTTGCGCCCGCCCCGCTGTTCAAAAAAGAGGCCATCAAGACGGCGCCGTTGGGGGAGGCCTTATACTCGCGACTGCTGCTGCTGCCAGCCTCCAGCCGACGCAATCGCTGCCGCCGCCGCCGCAGCGACAGAGCGCACCCGGCCGCCGCGAGCGCGAGCGCCGCCGCCCCTGCGGCTGCGCCGCCGAGCGCCGGGCCGAGCCGCGCGCCGACCGGAGGCGGGGCGG